TATTTTAAGTTAGTTCCACTATCAAATGGTCAATTGTCGTTGATTGAATCTGGATGCTAATTGTGAACGTGTATCGCCCTGGCTGTCCCTTCTCCTCCAGTTTCTCATTGTACGGATTATGTTCTCCAGAAGCATCTGTTTAGAGATAATTTCTAGTTGGCTGTTGGCTCCGTTTACACAGCATATACCGGATGGCAGTTTTGCCCTTTTTCTACTACGCTTGCGCCAATTAAGAAGAGATGGCATAAAGCCTTGCAATGCATCCCTACCTTCAGAACTAGCACTAGAAGCAACTGGCTTTAGATAAATTTGGAATGACGCCTCTCTGGTCGGAAATTTGAGATTGGAAACCCAGGTTTGAAAATCTCTTGAAATCTGAAGCTTTTTTGATACTCTGTGCCAACCGCTCGGGTTTGAACCAATTTGCTCGTTCCGAAGTCTCTCGGTCACCGGTTTGTTCACTGATTGGAACGGTGTCCGTTTTCCAGGAAAGTGTGCACCGGAACAGTTGCATAAGTTCCCCCCAATGCCTTGCTGGCACCTTGAGATGCAGAACATGTGTTTATTTAAGCTACCGTTATGTTTGCCGCCCTCCAAAAGTGCCAAGACCATGCTAAATAACAACGCATACGTGAGTAATCCCATCGTAACGAGTTCAAAAAGAAAGGGAAGATGAAGTCTTCAGTCACTTCCTTCGGGCTTTTCAATTACCGTTACACGAGAAGGTAATCGCTCCTCTGTGGTTAACGAACACTTATCAGTTTCAACTTTCTACAAGATGATGCATTTAAAGCGTCTGTGGGGAAATGTAAAACCCGTGTCGTGAAGCAGGTGGACCGATTAACTGGAATTAATCACCAAGAATCTTCACGCTGGAGAGTTGTAGAGATGACAGACTTCCAAAGAGGATGAGTTAATCTAGTTTCTCCGAGGACGCAAAATGAATAGGAGATACCGTGATTAGATTTATATTGCCATAGCGTGGCCTCGTCAAGAATTTGTGATACGTGATAACAGATGCGCGAGGAAGACGTGTCTCAGTGGTATTTGAGTCTCAATGGCCAACTATATATATATATATATATCTTCTCTGCTTATCTCTGATATGGTGCGTATAATCACATGGAATTTTCGCAATTTATAATTTAGTGGAATTTCTTTTGGGTTCTGTACACCACGTGTATGCGGAACTGCATTCGTGCTGATGAATTGTGTAAATTAGTTAATTGGAGTCCGGTTTCTTCCGCATTGCACGAAGGTCGATGGAGTAGTTCTGTAAGGATATACAGTGTTATCAATGTCTTAGTGGACATGTATTCAATTCAATACTTCTATTTCGACCACTACGCTTCTCAAGAGAACCTTCGAAAAAGAGAAAGGAAGTCGATGTTGTCAGCTCTTGGCGTGCAATTTTCCTGCACTAATGAATTGGTAAACGACGGAAGGAGAGCCGTAGTAAGGCCGCTTACTGCAGTCCTTCAACAAGTGCAATATGGTACCTTAATCACTTGCGTTGTTTGACGAAAAAATATGAAAATTTTCTTTCCTTTGTCGAGTAAAAAAGAGCAGCGCCCGACGGTATGAATGGAAGGTTTCATCAAAGTGTTGTCTCAAAGTTTTACCAAAGTTGTATAACACTTACGGTACACGTCACCCCACGTGGCATCTTCGATTAGTGAAATGGTGCTCCTGTTTTTTTTTTCTATCCAAGTATTGCTTCCAGTTCTACTCCAAGTGACTTGACTCGTGCTTGCGAAAACCGTCTTATGTGGTTCTAAAGAAAGCGCGGTTCTAGATATACCAGGAACTTGTAGATGAGTCGACATGGAAGTCAATTGGAGGTTAATTTACAGGTGTGTTGCCACCCACAACTCCACGTAGACTTGCTATTGGCCAATGACAACCCACGATGACATGCATGCTAACTCATTCCACTCGCCATCAGGTAAGGAAATGATTAAGAGTTGTACTTTGCAGTAAACAGGTTATCTGTTTCCGATTAGCTCTAGCCAATTTCTATCAGATATACCGCATTGACACCAGCATGTTCCATTGACGTATCAAGAATATATACGTGCATGTGACACTTGTTCTGTCAAAGACACATACGTACGTATGCACACATTCCGGTAAAATTTATGTTTTCTGTATAATAATATTGGCCTCTAAAAGATGAATCTATTCCTTGGGTAAACATGGAAAAAAACTTCTTACATCGACACAAAGGGCCTTGGAGTCTAAAGAGCCGTTTTTATTTACTGTTTTACATGACGATATAAAAGTAAATGTTCGGACAATTTATTTTTCGTGACCGCAAGTAAAGTTTTTATTTAGACTTTTAATTTTGATCATTTTTTTAGTGGTGTACATTGGCAATAAGGAACATCTTGCACTGTTTCACATTGCCAAAGCTACGAATTCGAAATCATGCCACAGATGAAGGTGGGGTTATTTATTTTTTAATTTGAAATCAAAACTTTCACGAAACGAGGGGGTAATATAAATTTTAAGAGAAAAGCTATATATAGTAAATACCAAAAGGGTCAAAGAAAAGACAATCAGAGATTAATTTCAATTGGAATTTTACATCATTAAACTGTGTTTCTGTATTCGTATTTCAACATGTTGTTAATGTGAAAAAACATATATAGTGTCGAAAGACGTTCACCTCCTAGAATTGTTGCATTAAGGCGGTCTATTGTGGCAATTTTTCTTTTTTTCTTTCCTTTCTCTTTTTTAAACTAGATCGAACGCATTCGACTCTGCATATCTTGTCACGCCATTGTCTTCATCAGCTAATTTTGTCAGCAACCGCACAATGGGAATTTCATGACAGACATCGCATTCATAAAACACTTCTTTCCGATTCCCAGTTGTATGACGGACGATATAAGCAGTCCGCCCTCGCGTAAGAATCTCTTTATCATAAGTTAACATGGATGAGATCAGGCAGATGCTCCTTTGAGGCCTGTTAGTAATTAAATGTATTAATACGATCAAGCAGACATATAGAAACAGATCTTCAGGGTGAAAGTAAAACTGTACGTAGAGGGATGTTCTGGGTAGGCACAGTCTAGTATTCTCCTGGTGAGACGGGTTAGGTTCTGTTAATGTGTGAATGTGTGCGATTTTATACATTTTCAACATGTGATTTATTTTATTTTTGAATGAGGAATTTTATTCAGTTGTGCTCTTGCGTGAAGCGCGTTCTCTCTCTCGCTCTTTTTCTTAGAATACAGTACATTTCAGTGCTAAATTGCCACATGTATGTCACTTCCACACCCTGACAGAGTATTCCTCCGAATCACGACTTATTTAAGGGACGTATTCACCGTTCTCCCTCACTCTCTCCTCTACACTAAGCTAGTGGTATTACTGAACGTTCGGTACACATGGTCGGAAAACGAGTTTTTTTATATATTAGTCTATTAGCTGTTTCTCGATATCATTTTAACCCATTTCCAAAATTTATTATTATGTTTATAGATCTTTTTAAAAATGTCTGAAAGGATACATATTGAAGACCGTTAACCACACCTCAAAATGTCATTTTTCGCTAACTCGTCATTAAAAGCATAACTCTTTATTGATGTCCTTGCACTTTATATATTTTGGACCAAAGGGAATGCTTGTGTATTGGTTGGGGGGGGGGGGGGAGGGTCTTCCTTGATCGATGACGGTCTCGTCAATAAGTATTTCTTTGTTTTTCTGAATTCAGAATAATGGTGACATGCATAATTAAAATGATAACTATCTTCAACCTCAGTAACAAATTTTTTTCATAATATTCTCTAACCCGTCGCGCACCTGCGACGTTTCCCTCTTCAGCTAAAGATAAAAGCGTTGGAATAAAAATGCATCACCATTTTCAAACAAATATGGTTGTGGAAAAATTGCACCACTTAGAACCCTGTTCATGTGTCTCCATATATTTTGAACGATACAGATGAAATAATGTATAAGATGACTTGATAAATCATGTTTTTGGGTAAATTCTATACACATTTAGATGTGTTTAATGTTATGTGAAGGAGTGGAATCGGTAATTGTAATTAGAAAATCGCCTTTCTCCCTTTATCAAGGTAAAGTCAAACGTGCTCGGACCGAAACTAGATTAGATCGAAAACAAACTGGTGGACGCCAGACATGACAATTAAAAGTCTACGCGGGCAGTGATGGATCCCATATGCTCTGGACTGCCTGTGACGTCATTTGGACTATTTTAGGTTCCGTTGTGCGATTTAAAGCGATTTAAAAGTAAAGAGCAGCTTTTTATAACCCTTGGTCTTCTTCGATCTGACCAATGTTGAAACGATCTTACCTCCTTGGGGAGCAGACAGAACCAGAGGGGAAAACGTGGTGCTCGGAATTATCGTCCACAGTTATGAGGGTCCCACTGGGTATTTTCGTTACCCGTGAAAGTCACTTTTTATTTTCCGAGATTCGTAAAACGCTAATATTATTGAGCATGATCCATGAAAAACCCCATTGCCGTGACTCGTGAATACAACTTTTTATTCTTCGTCATCCGTGAAACAAAGTCATTATTCTTCTTCGTGATGTACAACTCTTATTCCCCGCATTTTCAGTGAAATATGAATTATGTTTTATTTATTGTGATTTGTGAATCGTTACCTTCATTTCCAGTGAACTGTGAGCACTTCGCCCCCCCCCCCCCCCTCAATGGAACCCTAAAGTACCGAACACGTCAACATGACGTCCTTACAACCGATTCATCCTCTCTTTATAGATAATCAAATCGCCAAGGCACAAGAGTAACGAAAATAAATCGAACAGAACACAGGGTGCGAGAAACCACACCGTCCTACACGGTGGTTTTACGAAATGTCCCCAACACCGTGGGAAAGTAGATATCTTAGAAGATTGCAATCGTCCCCTCGAGGGCCTAGGAGTACCTGTGGGGGCAGGCACGCCCCTTCAACCACATCAGAAGAGCATGGGACGTATAAGGCCCGTTATTCCTTCACCTGACGGACTGTTGGGTGAAATTGCAGGCTTCGGTGATCTAGGGGAAAGTCTGCGATATGAGAGCGACTTGGCTTATTTGTGCCGCCATAATATTATGTAAGTACGGAATGATTTGATTGAAAGTTAGTTTTAATGAAATTGATTGACGAAAATGATACGTTGGTAAAAAATCGTGCAAATGATAACATGTGGTTATAATAGGTGCTCTGATAGTATCAAATAAGCATGAACGATTATTATTTCTTTTAAGATTTAAAATTTCAATGATTATTGGTTAATAAAAAATGTGCAAATTTTAGCATGGTTTGGTTTGTAGGTTCCATATTATCTACGTATTTGTTAAATCTAAAATATTGAGGAAATAACATAATCGTTTTACATGGCATACTTATATAGGCATATATACACACACTAGAAAGTATTAAGAGAATATAGAAGTAGTGAAAGAAAGAAAGAAGATATAATGTTGGTCTATAGAATAAACTCATTCACAGAATGTTTACATGCTGACGATCAGTCTCTGCATATTTCAGATAACAAAGAATATACATTTTATCGTTATTTTCAGCTCATTCTTCTTGTACATACATGTACATTTGTTGATTTAAATATTTCATTTGACCACCGTTTTATTTGTGCATGTGCATAGTATTTGGACACAGTAATGCTTTAATGTGTTTTGGGTGGAAGTCAGTTCATATACAACAATTATATACTTGAATACTGTAAACTTCCCACTTACTTTAATATTTCACCTTATCAAAATTTATCATTTAACTTACACTACAAATGTGTGTTATTTCTGACAATTGACATTCCAAAGGCTTTGAATCAACATTTATAAGTATGACTAAGTAAATATTAAGTGAATTTCGTTTTCATATTCCAGGTGCTTTGGAAGCACGCGCAGAGCTAAGTAAGTTTGACAAATAGATCGCCAAAGTTGAAAATCTCCAACTTCTCAAAAATGTGTAAAGCATTTATGAAATGATTCAATATTTGTGTTTTTTCCTTAGAGTTAAAACTTACTGTGCTATTTAAATCTCTGATTGTAGGCCTACTGCTGGTAAAATTAATTACATATCCAAATTATTTGTTTGTTTGTTTTTTTCAGGATGTGACACCGGTGTCTTGCACCTTGACCAGTGTTATATATTTGTCAACATGTCTAAAACATGGTCAGAAGCACAGCAGGACTGTGTGGATAAAAACGGCCACCTTGTCACAGTGGGGTTTCAAGATGAACAAGATTTTCTGGAGAACTTCGTGTCACTCACCGGTAGGCTTTCCTATTGCTTTAAGCAGAATTATTTCTAATCTTAAATTTTATTAAATTTATTCATTTTTTTGCGAAATATTTATAGAATATTGGCGTGACAATCGACCTGAGCCTAAATGAATCAGCACGTCTTTGTTTTGCTTTTTATACCGTTTGATTAATTTATCTACTTAGTTATTGATTTGATTAATTGGGAGAAAGGAAACCTCCAAATCTGGGGTAGGGCATGCAGCCCCCGCCACCCCCTCTATGGGCTCGTCTTCAACTTTTCGGTTATTTCATTATTAAGGTGCAGTCGTACGTATCTAAATAGCTTCAGTTTCAGTGGCATGTGGGTTATTGCTTCATTGTATTGGTGTTATATCTAGGTTAAATTTAATAGACTATTAATAGACTAATAAGACTATATAAAGACGGAATACTTTCGAAGCATGATTTCGTGTTAATCATTTTACACATTTCATGAAAAACAAGTGAGCTGAAGAAAATAGTGAAAATTTCATTTGAACCTAAAAATTCGATAATACAGCGCGATACTTTTTTAAATACAAGATATACTTGTCTATATATCTGTATTTCAGTCTCTGGGAAGACCGACTCTAACGGTGCCGTCATTAATGCGGTCTTCATTGGCGCCTCTGACGGTTGGAAGGAGGGAGACTTTCGATGGGTGGATACAGCCGAGTTGACTCCTACAGCCGGGGACTTTTGGTTACCAGGACAACCTGATGACGTAGACCACACGCAGAACGGACTGTGTCTGGACACCTCTTCCGGCAGCGCGGGAAAATGGAGGGATTGTGATGTTAATATGAGGAGACCTTATATCTGTGAAATGCCAGGTTTGTGCCATTTTCATCAAAGTTAGAACAAAAATGTTCTTTTGATAATGAAGCTTGAAATTTTATTTATGATTAAAAGTGCGGGTCGGTTATTTTCATGAGTTGCTCAGAAGCGCAGTCCGTTTGGGCCTGGGCCATTTCCAGCTTTGACATATTGTCTTTGCTTTCATTTGCTAAATCTTTTAAGGCATGGTTAGGGCATGTATGTAGAAAAACACAATTTTAACTGAAATTTTTTATTTTATTTTATTTTATTTATTTATTTGTTTATTGATTGTTTTCACTTGATAGGAACTTTTTTTGTGCTCTTGAAAATATGCATACAGAAAAGCCAATTATTTCTAACGGATTTCTTATCGTATATCCCAGCGACAGGCAGGTGCGACCAGCCTCCACTGATAATCCCACCCAACACCACCGACGTCCTGTGTATAGACATCATCAACCCGTCTCGCACGGGGCGTGCACTGGGGGCGTCACAGTGTGGCTTGACGGTTGACATGGCGTATACCAATAACGTACGTGATTTCATCTGCCCCGGAACGTTTACAATTGAAAGGAACTGGACTGTGACTGACAGCAATGGCGATAAAAGTGCAGGTGGGGCAACTGCATATTTATTTTTTGTGTTAGCCCTGGTTTTGGTAATGGGTAGGGTCTTTTCTTACTATACAGGTACATGTAGATCTACATGTACTAGTAACCGTAAAATCTGTGGAATTCACGATTTTTATTTTCTTGATCTGGATCTTTTGTAGTACATTTATATAAGTTTATTTTTGTTCATTCTTTTCCATTCCTTTGTTTTAGACTCTTTCCTATAGTAATTTACACCCTGGTGTTTTTCTTTTGTGGATAAATCCTCCAGGTATCCTGTGATAACTTAGGTATATGATAGACCATACGTGTTGACATTGAAACATAAGAAGTATAAATATTTTGATGCATCTAGAAAGATCTACATAATAGTTGTTAAATTATGTAGATCTTTCTAGATGCATCAAAATATTTATACTTCTTATTACCAAGATCTATAAGGTGAATCAACATGAATCCTCAAAGTGACATTGAAACATGACACATTTTGTGCATAACTTGAAATAAAAGAAAACCCGAAAGAAAAGCTAGTCTAATGAGATAACAAATGCATGAAAGCTGCATGGCGTGTACATGTAGGACATAAGTCGATATAGGGAAGAGTCATCATTTTCAAATTCCCACGGAAAACACGTCGTTTCATCCTTTTTCAAAAATACGAAACAGATTATCTCATTGGCGATAATGTGGGTGAATGCCCCAGGTATTTTCAGTTTTTTCCTCCTTTTTTATTTTTAACTGAGTATTGTCAATATCATAACCGCAATACTTTCCTCCAGCATCGCCGAAATGTGTTGAGTACACTTGAATACATAAGGTTATCACGGGTGCAACAACAGGTGCGCTTTACACAAAAGAAGTGTTATGGACACGCCCACTGTGACAAAGCTGGTATGCTTTGAAAAGGCCATTAAAAAACAAATAGTCTCTACCGCCATATCCAAATTGTTTGACTAACAATATCTTAATTGTTTGACTAACAAGCATCAAAGAATCGACCTGTGGGTTTAATGCCCGTTGGCGTTATCAATACATTGAATATTAACAAAGTGAAAAAAAATTAAAATCAAATTCTTGTGAATTGATGCACATTTTTATTTGGGTAACAACGGTCACATTTACTCCCACTTGTATTTTTCAGCACATTTGATTTATTCAAAGATGCATTTTAAAGTAAACGAACTGTTTATGTATAGAAAGTTAAAAATACAAGTTGCAGATCAGCAGTTATAATTTCCCCTTCTATTTAAGAATATCTGTATTTCTGTTAAGTTAGCAAAAGTACCACTGCTAGGTGGTTAGTAATGTACCGGGTACAGTCAAACAATATTAAATATTCTGTTTATACACGAGGTATACATATGTTTGTGTAACTATTTACACAACACATTATTTATATCCAATCCTTTCCTTTAGCGGTTCAGAACATCAAGGTCAACAACATAGCGCCAGAAATTATCGTCCCTGATGACGTAACAGTTTCTTGCTATGAAATGGACAAACTAACGCCACATCTGATTGGCTGGGCGAATGGCACGGCTGGGTGTCCAGGGAACGGCCTCAGTATCGTTTATAAAGACTATAAGAATCTCTCCTGTCCAAATAGAGGTATGTTCAATTTCCATTAATCGATATATACACTCTCTTTAGACTACAATATTGAATCTGAATTTCCGTCATGCTCATTGTTAGCGTATCATTCTCTGAAATATTAAAACACAAATGATCTTCAAGTTAGCAGCAAGTGGTAGAACAGCGCCAGACAACATTAAGAGGCCATTGCACTCTTATGAGGCAAAATCGAACACAGTAAATAAATGGACATAAACATTGTATGAAGCTGAATAAGTAATAAAATTTGGTACATGGTTCTGTCCCATGGATCTATTGTGTAAAACGTATTTATTGCTATGATTTAGTACCTTCTTGAAAAAGGCGATTTGCTACTTACAGAGTGAACTGTTTTCATATGATTGTACATGTACAACCGTCAATGGTGCAGCCCTATGTACAGTATTTTATTGTATTCTAGGCACAGTGGAGCGGCGCTGGACTGCCGTGGACGAGTGTGGAGAGGTAGCGGCCAGATCCCAGGTCATTGTGGTCTACTCGGAAACAGTTGTGGAGGTGATGGATAACGCCACCTATGAGTGCGGTTACACGTGCGAATTCCTGGGCCTGAATACCCCAAATATTTCCACCTGCCCGGGTAAGATCTCAAAGTGGCGTAAATATCCTAATGGCTTGACTTATGGTCGAATAGGCCTACCAAAGACATTTTTCCTCTCCGACGAAGTTGGGTATCGTCTGAAGGAAACCTCTTCTTGTTTGTAGAATATATGCCATTTTCATATTGACTTTTTAATAGTTGTAATAATGGGACATAAAAGAAAAAAATTCTACATTTACCTCCAATAGAAAGATGCAACGTATTAACCCGACTCAAGATAACCTGCCTGAATAAGACATAACCCTAGATATTTTTTGGTGAAAAACATAAATATTATTTATATAAATCGTTTTAAGGAGACTAATCGCGCAATTTTACCTATGAGCCTTGGTATTTTGACCCCTCATCAAAGGAGTGGACGCTAGGATGTGATCGACTTTGTCGCCATCTTTACACAAGAGATGACGAAAAAAGTCTATTACGCCATGTTGTTACTCTTCGTTTCAATTGTTTCTATTTAATTTCCAGGAAATGAGGTGGTATTAAAAGAGACCACCCCTTACCATGATATTTACCCAGAAAGGCGATGTACAGGACAGACCTTCGTTCGCACGTGGCACGTGACGGATGCGTGCGGGGAGGAAACAACCCTTGAGCAAAAGGTCACAGGTTGGTGTCCAGGATGTATGCTTCACAAAGTGGTTCAAGTCTGAAGTCGGTCTTATCAAAGACTCTTGAGAATTTAGCCATTTGGTGATTCACAAAGAATCTTTAATACCATTAACCTCGACTATTTTTCGACTATCTAAGCGTCTGCGGTGTAATTGTGGTTGTGTGTACTGCGATAGTTCTTAGTAT